TCTTCTGAGTGTAGTACTGCAGATAAAGATCGGGAGATCTATCTAATGATGGCTTTTTCTCTCTCTCTCTCTTTCTCTCTCTCCCAAGTTTAGAGCTATTCTGCTTTTAAAAAAATGGAAGAAAATTGGTGAGGTGAAGTAAAGTACAGGCTTGGTGTCTTAAAATTCCACCTTCACGATGGCAGTGCAGGCCTTTTTTTTTAAAACAGAAACTCTGTGCTATTGAATGGGACTCATTGTATATGGTAGAAAATCCCCTGCAGAAGAGGTAGAATTTGAAGGCTCTAAGAGGCGAGGAAACAGGAGAGTAAAAGCCATGCAGCAGAACTGTACATTAAAAGTACAGTTATTTTTAAATGATAATATATGTCAAATGGAAGCCATGGAAATGAATTTCACAAGTTAGATAGGAAATAATATTACTTTAAGAAGAATAATTACTTTCCTTAACTACATTTATCACACTGTAATTCAGTTTCCTCTTCTGGAGCATGATGCAATGCTAAGCTTTTGACTGATCTACGTAAAATCCACTTTAAAAAAAAAAAAAAAAGATTTACCAGATATTAGGCTTCTTCTGGTTCTTTATTCAAAGTAAACAGTAATCAAAATGCAAATAATTTGATCCAGTTAATGTTGAGATGTGAATTACCATGCAAATGTACTGTATAACTAAACCATGGAAAGGGAGAGAAGAAAGCTCTCGTCCTGTAAGAGCAGTGTGATGCATAAACAGACGAAGTACAGTAGTGAATTCTCACAATTCGGTGCGTTATGTGAAATCTAAGATAATGATCCCTTGGCAGAAAACTATTCCATAGCAGCAACTTCACAGAACTCTGCTATGTGTTAGCTGATGTCCTCTTTAGCATGGCTTTAGCAATGGCACGGTTATTATTTATTATTTGTAGTGAGCTAACACCTGGAGGCTCCAATCTGGAGCTAAGCACATATATAACAAAAAGATGGATGCTGACCCTAAGAGTTTGCAATGTAAGTATAAAGATGAGAGAAAGTAGGTGGCTGCATTATGTGGCGAGAGCACAAGGTAACAATAAGGCAGGCATTGTCATTTAATATAGGTTAGTACAGCACCTAATACAATGGGGCCCAACTTAGCGGTGGCCTTAAGGCATTACTGCAGTGTGAATGCTAAATGATATTAGTAATTTTAAATTAATGTATTAAGTACCAGCTAAAGCACATCCGCTACTAGACAATGAATGACAAAGTAAATTTGTACCAAAATATTATGAGACGCTGTAAACTGTAAAGACCTTTAAAAAAAAAGGACCAGTTTTACATCATGATTGTCTTCTTGCTTACTTAGATTTTACACCAGTAATGCTTTGACTTGAATAGGGCTATTTCCTGATGTACACTGGTAGAAATGTGAGGCAAATCATCCTTTTACTGTTCTTGGTTGTTCATAATACCCCCTTTGAGATTGAAAACAACAATTTTTCTCTTCTGGATTTGTCCTGGTTTTTCCATTTGGCAAATATTGATTCATTTCCCCTCTGCTTTGGCCTGGTTTCATTATTATATATAATGTCAGCAGGGCTCTGGGAATTGAAGGGCTGAATCTGATCTCACTTACTTCTGAATCAGGAGTAAATTTATTAACATCAACAGAGTAATGGCAATGTAAATAAGAACAGACTCAGGACCAGGGTTTATAATTCAACTTGGGCTCTCTCTGTTCCTGAATGTAAACAGAAGCAAAATATAAAATATTGTAGGATCACACAGAGGATGCATATTTTAAATGATGAGTTCTCATTGACAAAATGGTGGATATTAAGTCAGGAAGAAATTTCCACTAGTTACTAAGGTACATGACATTTTGGACTTCTTGTGTGTGGCCTTCTAAACAGCCTCAAGAAGAGGGAGTGACAGTAGGGTAGCCTGCTCCAACAACCTAGAAGACACACGATTTGGGTTCTACTCTAAACCCTGCCACTAACTCACTATGTTGCCTTGGGCGAGTCATTGCACTGTTCTGTGCCTCAGTTTCCCTGTCTGTAAAAACTGAGATTACAATGTCGACCCACTTTTGCAAAGCACCTTGAGATCTATAGGGGAAGTCGGATGATTTTCACTTATATCTCAGCGTAAAGCCAAATCAGCAAATTAGGTCAGTGTAGTGGTTCAGTCTTAATTTTCACCCGGTAAATTAGACAAAACAAAGCGCATAAAACCTTAAAAGCCAAAAACAATAATCATACCAGTGGCCCTCCTCTGTACTTGTGACAAGCTGCAACTGGAGGGGGTAGTCTTTGAAGTAATTCATTAAATGTGTAATTCTTCCTTGGGATGAGGATTTTCCTCAATGATTTGCATGACCTTGCTAAACCCACCTAGGTGGTAATTGAGCAGCAACTTCTTCTTCAGAAGAAACAGAATAAAAATATTGAAAATATTGACTCACCCTGAAGGCAGTGAGCAGCACTTTGGTCTTTGACCTTTAAGCGTCCTAGGGTAGTCAATAACCTGGCTGTTAGATGCTGTGCTTGCCACTGATTTTGATTTGGGAGTAGTTTAACCTTGAACCAAGATCCAAGTAACCACGGCAACAGGAAGTAGGCCTCTACATTCAAGGAGTGGGAATCCATAAATCAAGGTCCCTAATGCAAACACTGTGTGCAGGTAGAGATTTGAGAGGATAAGTGGTTTGGGAGGGATTACCTTTGAAAAATGAATGACTGTCCCTTGATATGCTGAAGCACAGTTTCACAGACCTTTTTTTTTTTTTTTTTATCAATAGAGGTCAACAGGTTACAGCTGCATGTTTTCATACAGCTTTTTATATAGGCCCTTCAGTTTAATTATAACCAGATGTTGACTTCATGAGGTTGTTAGCATCATTATATACCATGTAGATGTACATACACACAACAATTTATATATAGACTCACATTCACGCTATATATATATCATACAAAAACTACATTAAACAAACATTAAGTTTTCAAAGCCATGCACTCAGAAGTTAGGAAATGCCAGAATTAAGGTTGTCTGTGCAACCTTAATTCAGCCCCCTTGTGTGTATGGATTATGGTGTTATGTGTAATTACATGATCACAGACTATTTTTTCCATAGGACCCCTGCCTCATTTAGTGAACAGGATGTACAGTGCTCATTTAATGAGAAGCTAGTCAACATTTTGTTTTCCCCATGTTGTTACTTATTTACTGCATGTTATTCAAACCCTCCTTCTTATTTACTCCATATTATTCAGGGCCATCTCATGGACTTTTCTCTGGTGCCAATCACTATAGCATCAGAGTGCCTCAGAAACATTAATGATTTTGTTTTCAGCATACACCTGGGAGGTGAGGAGGTGCTATTATCCGCATTGTACACAGGGGGAACTGAGGCACAGAGAAATTAAGGACAAAAGTGCCCAATTTGAGACACTTGGAAGTGATTTTTCAGAGTACTTAGCATTATATAGCACACTATGTTTAAAGCACAGCTCCCATTGACCTCTGTTGCAGCTGAGTGCGCTCAGCATTTCTCCAGATCAGATGCCAGGGTCTCAAGTCAGACACCTAGAAAATGAGGAATACACATTTCATAATTAGTGGCCACATATGAAAAGTTTAGTTCAAGTGACTTCCCTAGCATCACATAAGAATGCTGGTAGAGGCCAGGGACTTCAGTTTTCCTAGTCAGCATTCAACTGCCTTGACCATGAAACCCTCCATTCAATACATTCCTTCTAACTTCTGCACCAGATGATACCAGGAGCCCTACAGACAACTCTCTCTTTCACTACACAGTCCTGATCGACCCCCAGAGCACTGAATGAGGCGGGGTCCTGTGAAAAAAAATCCATCCCCAAAAATTAAAGTTTGGCATAGTCATAAGCTATTGAAAGATGGGTCTTTCCAGTAAGAAAGGTAGGGCAACCTTAATTATAGGTGTGGCTACCAGCCCCACCTATAATACAGACCCACTGTCTCTAGAAAGTTTTACATCTTTGGAACATTGGTATCATCTAATTTGTTTCCTGTTTGTATAATAACCTGTCTCAAGATTTGTTGGCAGAATTTTGGACATCAAAGCTTATGATTTCCTTGACATACCCTCAGCTCTGTAACCGCTCTCAGTCTGTACACAGACAAAAAACTCAGTGAGTCAAGTGTGGATTCTCCATCATGGACAATTTTTAAATCAAGATTGGATGTTTTTCTAAAAGATCTGTTCTAGGAATTATTTTGGGGAAGTTTTCTGGCCTGTTTAATACAAGAGGTCAGACTAGATATCACAATAGTCCCTTCAGGCCTCAGGATCTATGAATAAGTGATTATAACAGAGAAGTTTATAAGTGAATGTGGGGGACACAGTAGGTAGAGGAACTGATAAATGGAAAATGCCACTGAATAGCCATGTGGTCACACCTGTGTTTGTATATATTTGTTTTGTGCAAAAAATAGACTTCTGGGATTATTCAGCTACTGAGCATTGTTTATAGAGAACTGTGATGGTCTATCCTGAGGCAAAATTATTAAAAACAAATAAAAATCATGATCCTTGCTAAAGCAAAACCATATTACACACTCTAGTAGGGGAGTATGGAAATATACTGGGACACTAAGGGCTGGTCTACACTTACCCCCCAAATCGAAGTAAGGTACGCAAATTCAGCTACGTGAATAACGTAGCTGAATTCGACATACCTTACTTCGACCTTACCGCGGTTCAGACGCGGTCCACACGCGGCAGGCAGGCTCCCCGTCGACTTCGCAGTACTCCTCTCGCTGAGCTGGAGTACCGCAGTCGACGGGAATCACTTCCTGGTTCGATTTATCGCGTCCAGACCAGACGCGATAAATCGAACTCGGAACTTCGATCCGCAGCCGTCGAACTTACCGGTAAGTGTAGACTAGCCCTAAGAGCAACAGTTCATCCTTTCTAGTAGATACCTCGCACAGCAATCTTGTATACTTCATATTTATTCATCCAAATATTTTTTTTTCTTTATAATCCCCAGGAATAACAAGTCCCCACTTAAAAGCAGACCAGACTTCACTTCATAGTAGAATAGAAAGTTCTGCCTGTAACATGATGACCAGAAGGAAACCAGCAGCTGTTGAAAATGTTGCAATGCCACCAACGTCAGTGTTATCGCTCCTACCTTCATCATCAGCAACATCTGATGCAGGTAACTGTGTCTTCCCTCTGTCTCTTCTGTCTATTTTCTATCCATTCAATGCCAGAGTCCAATTAGCTGAACAATTTGTGCCTGTGTAACTATTACTGACTTCAGTAGCACTTGCTGGTGTGCGTAATCGATGGGATAATCAGGTCCTGTTTTTTCTAACGTTTTCTTATCACTGTGGTGTGTGAGCTCTTTAGAGCTATATTAATCAAAGGATACCAGCACCATTGTAATAATGAGATAAGTAGTGCCATCGTTTGTGGTTAGGGCAATGGATTAGAAGTCAGGATTATTGGGTTCTATTCCCAGCCCTGACATTCATTGCTTGCTAGCTAGCAAGTTTCATCTAATGTTCCCACCATGCCAAATGCTCAATGAATATTGAGCAGCTGAGGTAGCCTTTCGTGTATATAATCCACTGGTAAATGTGTGTCACAAGCACTCATCTTTGCCAATCCATAGAGGACATGAGTTGTTACAGCCTATAGCTAACTAGCCTTAGCTCTGGAGTGCCCTGGTTGAGTCCCTGGTGTGTTTGCCAAGATGGCAGCCATCACATCTACTCAGGTTATTTTAGTGTGATTTTATATATTGCACCTGGTGCAATGGACAGAGCCTTAAAAGCAAATCGGAAGAAATAAGTAATTAAGAGTAGCACTGGGTCTATTCCTCGCTCTGAGATTGTTTTCCAATCCACCCATGTTCTGTGCTGTTGTTCTGAATGAGATCATTCCTGGTGATGATTTCCTTCTATTAGAAATGTGGCTAGGTCATTTGCCCATCGTCTTTGTTAATCTGGGAAGCTTGCGTAAAGAGATAGGTCTGGCATTATGACTTGAATGTGACAAGACTAGGGGCTTTGTCTACACTTAAAATGCTGCAGTTGTGCCATTGTGACACTTTAGTGTAGACATTACCTGTGCTGACAGGCGGGATTCTCCGATCAGCGTAGGTAATCCACCTCCCTGAGAGGCTGATTCTTCCGTCGACCTAGCACTGTCTACACAGGGATGTAGGTCGACTTTACACTGCTCAGGGGGGTGGATTTCTCATACCTCTGACCAACTTAATTAGACTAACCTAATTTTCTAGTTTAGACCAGGCCTTAAGCTAACCCCAGTCTCCAGTAATAACGAATCCATAGTGCACAGCCCTTCACTGAGATCTCCCTAAACCTCAAGAGTTTCTTAACCTTGATATGCCTCAATTTTCCCATTTGCAAAAGAGTTACCATTGTTGCAGAGTTTTGCAAGAATTGGTTATTTAATTGACCAATGTAAAGCACCATTAAAGTGCAAAAGTACTTTGCTTCTAAACGAATCCCTTCGTCTTGGATAAATAATGAAAACAAGGGCTCCATGCATAAAGTGGTTTCTGTAAAGATAACCTTTTTGTATCAAATATTCAGGAGTCTCTGTTTATATACAGGAAAGTATTAAAGAGCTGAGCTAAGGGCAGATTTTTTTTTTTTTAATGCAGGAGAATGAAAGCACACAAATATTTTATGATCAGTTGCAAGATGAAAGTGTACGCTTGTCCGCATAGTTCACTCTTTCCATTGTCAGAAGTCTAATTAAATTGTTGGTTTATCTGTAGCCCAGATGTTGAAATAATTTAGTGAAAACCAAAAGAAACTGTGTTAATGGGAAAACAGGACAGTACTGTGGGTTTCCTGTAATTAATGGGGAGCTCTTTGAAAACTTCTTGATTCAAACCAAGTCTACAAACTGAGCCCAGCTGTTGAGCAAACACTGTTCTCTGTACTATGCTGTTGTAAATGGCCTCCGGCAACTCCAAAGGGATCTCTAATGACAATCATTAAGAATGATCTTTAGTGCTACAGACAGACCAAAGCTGTCCATAATAAAGTTAGGGAGGTATTGGTGAACTTCCCAACAGTATGATGAACCTGTGCTCACCTCTTCATGTCACACAGTGATTCAGACAGCTTTAAACCAGCACTGGAAATGTCTCGCTTAAGCAAAGCTTCTCCCCTTTGCCTCAGAAGCTATTTCCTGTGTCATATCAATACTCTGTGGCTTCCTCGCATGTCCCGTAGCCATTTCAATTTGTCTCTAATTGCAAGACAGAGCGACATTGCAGCTGTGCAGATGAAGAGAGAAGAGAAATAAACTCCAGCCCTTTCCAAATAGTTTCTCGTTTTCTTGCAAGTCATAAAAATGTCTTTTTAAGGATTCAATTGATTTTGTTGTTGTTGTTTTTAATTATGGTGACTCACTTAGGGGGAGGCAGGTTTGTTTGTATCTGGAGGGTGGGATAATAATGGAGTAGGTATGTAAGGGCTCAGTTGGAAAGAGGACCCATTGAGACGGGTGTGACATTGGTCTGAGACTTTATAGGTACTTGTACAGGGCACAGTAGCATTTGTGAAGCGCTAGTCTCTGTTAACCATGGGAAAACCTCACACAGTTGGTGTCAGATAGACGTCCAGAACTGAAGGTCCTTATCTGAATTAATATCCATAACTTGTGAGGCCTTCGCTATAATGGAACCCTCAATGGGCTCTGGCCCTTTCCCTGTGGCTCTTCATTATCTTTGAAGCAAAAGGTCTTTCTCCTGTCTAGCAGCTCCTCTGAGTGGAGTGGAGGGAAGGTGCACCTAACATCTCATCTTTGAGATTGATGCCTAAGCCCATCCTTCTGTTCCTCTCCCACAGCTCCTCTTCACAGTGTGGGAAGTTCAGTATTTGTTCTCTTTCATTTCTTGCCTCCAAGTATTTGGGAAGCTCCTTTCGTGGGAAGGTCAGAAGACATCCTGCTCCTACCAGCAGCCTCACTGGTGCTGTAATCAAACTCCCTGCATTCTGGGTTGCATTATGTAGGCCCGTCTGACGTTGCATGGCCTTTGAGAAGTAGTGGCATGGTTGCCCAGAGTGGACCTTGCAGAACAATCCAGGAAAGAGGAAGGTATATAGGGAGGCTGGCGGGGCTGGTTGGAAGAGTCATAAGGCTAGTAGGATGGACCATGATATGAGGTAAATAGGTTGTGTCTTTAACAAAACTTTTAAAGGCTTTACAAAGGTTCAGCACATAGGATGGGTGGTTGAGGTTGGCTTGTATTGAATCTGTTCTGGTTCACCTAGCTGTAGTCTCTAGTCTCTAGCCAGATTGTTCAAATAGACACAAGCCCTCATTAGGGGCAGTGCAGAGCCATACTACCAGTGCCTCAAGCAGCACAATCTTTCCCCTTGCTCCCTGCATAGGCAATGGTCCTGCTGCACCATCCCTTTGGATGGTCCCGCCTGCTCCAAAGGCCAGCACTCAGTTGGAGTAGTGCTATTGCCTCATCCCTTTTGTGGTACTAGAAGAGAACATTTCTGTCGTTACAAGAGACCTAAAGGTGAAGGATAAAGTAAATATAGGAAAAAGGATGCAAAAGAACTACTGAATCCAAATTAGTATTCTAACTACCCTGGGACTGGGTGCTGATCTGGGTGAATCAAATCGCAAAGGTACGTTCTTACATAGATTGTCAGCTCTTTGAGGCAGGGACTGTTGTTTTGTTCTCTGTTTGTACAGCACCTGGCACTTTGAGGTTCTGGACCTTGAGTGGGCCTCCTAGGCACTACAGTAATACAAATAACAAATTATAATCATAAATATAAAGATTAACTCTTATTACGCTTAACCACGGTACAAAATGTCAAGTAGGAGTATAAGAGTACATAGTACATGGCAGTTTGCTCACTAAGAGCTTCAAGATGACTTAATAACACAAAATGGTCCTCAGTTCATAAGTGGCTTCCTTTGACAATTCTCTTTGTTATATCAGCACAAGCACACCTCATTAAATCCTATGTGCAATCAAATGGTCCTGACGCTCCCCAACAGTCTGACTCATAGTGAATATAGACTACAGCTAGGTGAACCAGTACAGATTCAATACAAGCTAACCATCCTATGCGCTGAACTTTTTTAAAGCTTTTAAAAGTTTTGTTAAAGACCCACCCTATTTACCTCATAGGCCTGGTATATTCAAGAGATGCATACTTATAATTGATAAAATATCACAACACACCTCATAGACTAATAAACTTTACGGTCAGAAGGCACCATCATGCTCATCTAGTCTGACCTCCTGCACAAAGTGTATTATTAGGAATACCAGCTCAGAACCTTCAAGAGTAGAAGGGCAAAAACATTCATGTCAACATCTGACTGGCTTCCTGAGGATAGCCCGGAAACAGTAAAAGAGTCCAGTACTCTAACAGGCATCCTAACACTTGGAAGTGAGAGAAACAGTAGAATCCAACAGAAAGTAGCTGGCAACTTGCCAACTTAACAGTCAATTCCAAGGTCAAACCGCCCAGGAATTAGTTATACATGAGGAAGAAGAGAAGGTATCTAAACAAACCCAAGGAAGACACCAGATCTCTGCTTCTAGAGGATATCCAGAATGCTGCTGCTAAGAGTTAATAACCATATCCCATGTCCACCCACTCATTAAAGGGGGAAAAATCCACCTCAGTGGCAGAACGGCCCACTTCAAAAACAACTGTTTTGAGAAAAATAAGTGTGGGATGATCAGAAAGTCACTGAGGTGCAGCAACAGCAGTTATTGGCAGATAGCTGATAAGCATTTTAATCCTCAGAGAGCTTTGGTTGCTGTTTTATTTTCAATTGATTTGGGGTCGGGGGGGAGGAATTCAAACTGGAAGAGGTGCAGAGAAGGGCTACTGGGATGATCCAAGGAATGGAAAACCTATTTTATGAGAGGAGACTCAAAGAGGTTGGCTTGTTTAGCCTAACCAAAAGAAGGCTATGGGGAGGTATGACTGCTCTCTATAAATACATCAGAGGGATAAATACTAGGGAGGGAGAGGAGTTATTTAAGTTACACACCAATGTGGACACAAGAACATATGGCTATAAACTGTCTATCAACAAGTTTAGGTTCAAAATTAGACAAAGGTTTCTAACCATCAGAGGAGTAACGTTCTGGAACAGCCTTCCAAGGGGAGCAGTGGGGGCAAAAAAACCTAACTGGTTTCAAGACTGAGCTTGCAAAGTTTATGGAGGGGAAGGCACGATAGGACTGCCTACGATGTCCTGTGGCCCATCGGTGACTGCCAGTAGCAAAAATTCCCAACTGCTGGAGACGGGATACGAGATGGGGAGGGCTCTGAGTTGGTACAGAGAATTCTTTCCCAGGTATCTGCCTGGTGGGTCTTGCCCACATGCTCAGCGTCTAACTGATTGCCATATTTGGGATCAGGAAGGAATTTCTCCCCAGGTCAGATTGGCTGAGACCCTGGGGTTTTTTCACCTTCCTATGCAGCATGGGGCATGGGTCACTTGCAGGTTTAAACTAGGGTAAATGGTGAATTCTCTGTAACATGAAGTTAAACCATGATTTGAGGACTTCAGTAACTCAGCCAGAGGTTGGGGGTCTATTTCAGGAGTGGGTGAGGTTCTGTGGCGTGCAGTGTGCAGGTCAGACTTGGATGATCACGATGTTCCTTTCTGACCTTAATGTCTATGAGTCTATGAAAAGGAAGGGAAGAGAGTGTGGCCAACTCTTTGCAATTTTGTCTCAAATTTCGCAATATCTGGTGTATTTTTAAAATCCACACCTTTTGTGGTTACTTGCTTACATGAGAATCTCAGCTTTTTCTTTTCTTTTTTAAGTTTAAGTTTCTACCCTCATGGTTGCAGAGAAATGCTTGAAAATGTGACCTGAGTGCATCCAGAAAACAACTCTTTTTTTAAAAAAGCAAATAAAAAGAACCCCAAATTTATTTATTTTTTTAAAGATTTTAAAGCCAATCTCATGAGTTTTAAATGCTTGGGGTTGGCAATACTGGAAGATGTAACAATAGTCACTGGAGTCAGTTGACATTGACTCTTGCCATGTGACAGGGATGTGACCATGTCCTAGACCATGTGATCAGGCTAGGAAATAAACAGTCTCTTACCAGCACTCAACCTGAGAACACTTAATCTACACTTTTTAGGGGGGACCAAAATACTTGCAGGGAATTTGGTGCAACTAATTGGATTTTCCCTAGTAGTTTGGATATTTCATTTCCAGCCTTTCTGTATTTGTTACCAAAATGACTGCATTCCTCTTTTCTTTGTCCTCTGTGAGTCACAAACTGTCAGTGATTTTTTTTTTTTGGGGGGGGGGGGGAAGAGTGGGCTACATATGGAAAATATATTTTGTTTTGTAATTAATGAAAACCAGACTTTGGGAAGTTGGCCATCCAGGTCTTTATTTATATGAGAGCATATGTCTGTGTTTTGTTTATGACTCACTCCTACCTCTTGCATTGTAACTTGGGTTTGTTTATGCAAGCTCTTTGTGGAATCCAAGCAACCTGGTGCTATATGAGCCAATAATTTATGTTCTCCAAAGGGGAAAGACAATGAATGAGTTTTCTACTCTGAAATTGGTGTATCCCAGAGCAAGCAAATAGTGTTTTCTGCCACTTGACTGTTCTTGGTTATCTACAGAAAATGTTAAAATAGAACTTTATTTTAAACTACTGCTAGAAGGATTGGGCTGTTATCCACGAAGGGAGTGATAACCCCCAAGTGAACCTTTCTATAAATCTTGGCTGCTTTTGAAACTTCCAGGATTTGAAACCCAAGCAACTGCTTGACAGTCAGGTGTAAATTAAGTTTGCAAGTAGACATGGACCGAGGTTAATTTAGTGGGATATATTTTATTCTTTACTGCGAAATCCTGAATTTTCTTGTTTCTTTTCTGTTAGTGCAGAAGAGATAGGTTAGGAATAAAAGGAAATCCACATTATTTCAGTAGTTTAATCAATACATTCTGTTTCATTCACAAAGGGATAGTCACTTCCCCATAACCTGTGAGCAAGTTATGAACTGTGAACCGAAGCCCCCATCTAGTGAAGAACAATTCAACAATTTAAGAAGGTCTAGCATCCTAAGCAAATGACTGGGAGTCAGGAACTGCTGAGTTCTGTTCCCAGCTTGGACAATGACTCACTGTGTGATCTTGGGCAAGTGACTTAACTACAGTCTTAGATTCTGATCTAAGCTACAGTGGTCTGAATTAAGAGTAAGGGCTTGATCCAAAGTCCGTGGAAGTCAATGGGAATGTTTTCATTAACTACAATAAACCTTGGATCAGGCGCTAACAACTTTGCAGTCAATGGAGATAAGTCACCATAAAACCAGTGTAAGAGAGATCAGAACCAGACTCTGTGGGTCTCAACTTCCCCATGTGCAAGACTGAGTTAATAATACTTACTTAGTTCACCAAGATGTCATTTGGACTAATCGGTTCATGTTTGCACGGACCTTTAAAAAACAGAAAGTGTCACTACATACATTCTGGTGTTATATGTGACCCATGCAATCCTACTGATGCCAAGAATCCCATTCAAGTGAACACAGAATTTAACCCTAAGATTGTTGTCACTATTATTGCTATATTTTTAAGTATACAAGCCACATTTCCCTGATTTTGAAATTAGCATTATTAGTGCCATTTTTTTTTTAAATGCTTAATTTGGTAAGGGCAAAATTCTGTGCAACCCAATGGAAATTCAATATTAAAACAATATCTTTCATCATAGGTACTTACATGGCCCCCATTTCCTGTAATCTTTGGGCACCTCTCAATCTTTTAAATGTATATATCTTCACAACACCCAGGTTAGGTGGGGAAGTTCTTTTACCCCAATTTTATTAGATATGGGCCTAGTGGGATTTTAAAAGCACCTAGGCATTCATTGATTTTAATGGGAGTTAGATACCTAGTTGCTTGTGAAAATCCTAGTAGGCACCTATCTGCAGCTTCAGTTGTCTAAAACCTTTAGAAATTTGGCCCAAAGTGACTTGTCCAAGGTATTTGGCACAGGAGAGACTTGTGCCCATGTCTCTGGAATGCTAATCTAGAATCCTAACCACTGGATCATCATTCCTTTCAATATAGGATCTCAATTTGTCCTAGAAAAATAAGTATAGTAGGGGAACTGAATGACAGTCTTGCACCTGAGTACGAATATTAGAAATTCTGGTAAGTTTTAGGGGTTTTTTTTGCAATGAATAAATTTTGCATATGCACATTCGCTTCCTTTTTCTGCCCAGAAAACTAGTGCTGAAGCATTTTGAGAAAAGGTGTTTTAATGAGATGTTTTGGATGCTTCTTTGATTGTACTTACTTATGAATGGTTTTTGAGTTTCTCCCATCCACCAGATATTACAGAATGTAACTTACAAAAAATCTACAGTGATTTGCATTAAAGAGACAGTATTTACTCACCCTTACTGCTCTGGTATCTGAGAGATTAGTTATATTCTCTCTAAGTGTAGGCGTTTACTGTAGTATCTCTGATACTGCAATGTGGCAACTGTTGTTGACTCTGACTTTTCCAGTGTGACTGTAGTGTAGACAGCTATCAATTTTATGACTGATTAGTTCAGGTCAGTGCTTAGGGTGGTGATATTAAGGAGCACAAATACGCTAGTGAGTCTGGGAGCTAAAGAGAACCACAGAGTCTATGTTCACTGGCTTCAATAACGAGTCTCCTTTATAGTCATTACAACTGATTCCTGTCACTTCTCAACTGCAATGGATACTGCAGTGACCATTAAAGGGCAGGGTGAAGCCATCAAGTGTGCAGATATTGTGATGTATGCCAGATTGGTGACCAGTCCTACCAAGGTTGATAGCTAGTACATTAAATCAGTGTGGCATCTCTTCACTACCATGTCCTCCAACACCATGGGAAGGCATCGGAGCAGGGACAGAGAGCAGGCCCCTTCGTGGCAGTCCCATACAGCAGTGGGGTTAAATCAAGCCCATTGTAAAACATGTTGTAGTGAAGTCTTTATTGCTTTGGAGTTTCACAGGTCATTAGGCAAAAGGAATGAAAAGCAGGTTGGCAACTACAGGTTGCTCCAGAGAGGACACGAAGATGGATAGATCTTTGAGGATTGTTGTGTAGTTGGGGTCCTAAAGGCTTTTATCTAAACTGGCAATAAAGATTATAACAATTGTTCTTCTATGGCTGATTCAGCCACTATAAGAAATAATCTTGTCGTCTTCTTTTTTTTAATTGCTTTTTCTATGCTGGTTTCCATCTTTCTGTCATTATTTATCACCATCCATTACTATTAATCATTTCATTCTGCCCTATTAAACATGTTCAAAAACACCAGCTTTTCACCTTTCTAACGGTGGGAGGAGCGAGACAGTTTTCATTCATTTTTGTGTTAACAATGGATGTTTCTCTCCCTTTCTCCCTGCAGCCAGCTCACCACTGAAAAAGAGATTCAAGCGTCGGGAAATCGAAGCAATCCAGTGTGAGGTGCGCAAGATGTGCAACTACACCAAGATCCTGTCCACCAAAAAGAACTTGGATCACGTGAACAAAATCCTGAAAGCCAAGCGGCTGCAGAGACAATCAAAGACAGGCAATAACTTCGTAAAGAAGAGGAGAGGGCGTCCCCGGAAGCAACCTTTCTCATTTGACGAAGACTCCAGAGACCAAATGCCAGTTCTGGAAAAATGCGTTGACCTTCCCAGCAAACGAGGTCAGAGACCCACATTGAACCCTTTAATACTGGAGCAAGCAGCCAGTCAAGATACAGTCATGGCCACCATTGAGGCTGTAATAAACATGGCTCGAGAGACACCACCGCTTCCCCCTCCACCCCCGCCGCCTCCTCCTCCACCCCCACCCCTTTCCCGGACACCACGAGTTGGAAAGAGGAAAAACAAACCGCATCTGCAGCAGCATCAGGAGGAGGAGGAGGAAGTGAAAGTGAAAAGGCACCGGAAAGCAAGAGGAAGTGAAAGTGAAATTCTTCCCTAGTACAGACACATCCAATGGACCGCCAGTATTGGGTGCTGAGCACTTCATGACCGACACACTGACGTGTGTAAGGGGTGTAGGTTCTGCTTGACCCCTGAAGCAGCATCAGAGTCACTCTCCTTCTCAGTAGCATGGCAGCCATAACCGTTCAGATAGGATGGACCAATAATAATCATCATCATCATTGTCATCTTTGGCACTAGCCCGTAGGAAAAGGGGGAAAGGAGCAGAGTGTGGGTGGGGGAATTTCAAAGTTAATGAGACCATCCACTTTGCAGAGTGTCCAAAACAAATCAGCATCTCAGCATTGCTGTTCTCATATCTTGCAAGCGGAAGGCTGTCTTCTCAGTACTCAACTGAACATCATTAGAGCCGCATACTCGACTTTGATTTTATTTGGTGGGTCAGGCACAACTACGAATAGCTATACCAGAGTAGAACTCACTGTAAAAAAAATAATAATGTAAATTCCTCAACTGTGATCTCTGTTATGATCTGTTTGAATTCATTTAATTTTTTCAGTTTTATAAACCTGCTGGGCTTTGGGGACATCATAATCCCAAAGGGCCTGAATCCTTACTCTAGCTATACTTTTTTTTCTCAGTTATTTGCCTACTTACAAGGACTAGCTGCAATATAGGCAATACACAAATACAGCCTTACATGCACACACACGCTCATTCCGAGTGCTATCCTGAGGAATGATGGAATAGCATCATGTTTTAAAATAAGGTGTACATGGATATTCAGTAATGGTAGCACCTTTCTGTTAAGCAACTTGTAATTCCCAGTGGCATGTTAACAAAGGGGTCACCAGTCACCAAGTTGTTTTCATGCTCAGTATATAGCAGTAAAGAACAGCAAGAAACTTCCAGGGAATAGACAATATTGTACAATATGGATAAAATCACCAAAAATGATGGGGCGGAGGAGGGCCCAATCCTGCTCATTCTCATCTCCAGGAACTCCCATTAAAATCAGCAGGAATCCCAGGTGCAGAATGTTTGCGGGATTGGATCAAAACTGTGTAGCAATGCCTTGGTATGTTGTTTAAAAAGAAAATAGCTAAAGTAGGTTGTTTAAAAATTACAAAAAATAAAACCATATGAAGAAGTAGGTTATTTCTTGGCAATTACTTCGTAAGACAAAAAAGGAATAAGTGTTCTTATCTGAAAAATAAAAATAATGTTCAAAGGGTAGCACCACTGCAATTGTATTAATGCCACTTTGGACAAGTTCTCCAAGTTGTGGTTGCCTTAATAAACTAAAAAGTTTTTTTGTACATAATGTAATTACAAAGCTATCAGTCTGCATGGATGCAAACTGTGTGTGACAAATCGTCTCTTTAAATGGTCAGTTTAAATTGTAAATTTCTCCTTCGAGTTGTAATTTAGCCATTGATTTTAGTTTGGATAAAATATCTGATCTCAATGTCCACAGCCCAGTTAAAAACATTAAGCAAAACTAAGACTGAGGATGAAAGCTATTCCGTTGCAGTCATAAAACTTTTTAAAAGTCAGTTGTTGAAATTTTAAAACAGGAACTTTCAACTTTATTTTATTTTATTTTATTTTTAATTCCTCCAAGATTCTGAACACCTGGCATGGCAAGATTAATGTTAATCGAGGAAGTGAGGGAAATTCCAGCTAGGGAGTGGAAAGTGGAATTATTAAACGATTCCCTAGTTTGAGAAATCTTTGATGTGGCTTATTGCCAAGGAAATTTCAAATAGCATGACACTAAATAAATAAATAAAGATATTAGTTCTCAAAAAAAGAAAGTGTTTCTTTTCTGTTCTTTATGTACAGAATCATATCAAGACTATGGTGTTAAAGGGACACGGTAAACATAAAGCTCATTCTTTTTAAAGATTGATTTTTTTCTTACTTCTGTTATAGCACCTTAGGTTATTCAAACTGAATGCATTGTTAAAAAAATCTAGGGACAAATTTTGTGGTCTTAACTCAGATAAAAGTCTCATTAAAACCAGTGAGAGGGACCATAGGATTCTGTTCCTAATTTGTTTTTGCACCATTTATTCTACCAATTTGCTTTTTGTGGGTTTTTTTGTGGTTTTTTTTTTTATTATTATTATTATTTCCTTTGCAATTCACACAGTTTAGGAGTAGCCTGGTCAGTTTCTCATTCTGTTACCATCAGTTTTGCTTTCTGGTCCTCATGAACTAGCGCAGTGTTCTGGTTGAAGTCTTGGTACTGCAGAGAAATGTTTAAATCCCCCCCCATAAGCAACTGTATTGGTACTTAATTTTTAAAGGAATTATTTTTTTCTCTCCCTTTGGCCTCAGACGTTGACAGTGTCTCTTTAAGTGCACAAGAAAAGTGTATTCTTGTTTTCCAGGTAGACTGTAAATGGAAACTAATCCCAGCATTGACGGATCCTAGATTCATACTCAAGTGTTCTGTTTCCCCATTAGCATAACAAAGGGTTGCATGCTTAGCAAGTGGAGAAAAGGTCTCAAAGGGCCAAATTTCATCCTTGGATGCCACATATGGATCCCATTGAAGATCATCAGAGCTGTCCATGTATCTCCAACGGCTGAATTTGTGTCCTGAAGTTTGGCTGTCCCTACAGAGGTGCGCTGGGGAGCTGCCCCCCATACACATAGACACCTCCCACACAGCATCCAGGCATAATGCAGAGCTAGTTCTCCCTGAGCACTAGACTATGGAGCCAACTCAGTGCTTCATGTCCCCAAGAGGGCAGAACTAGTGATCTGAGGGGGTGGCCGGAACCCTGCCCCATCACACTCTTGCTAACAACTGAAGGAAATATACAGTCTGCTGCCCACAGGCAGAATGCTTAAGATCGCCTACACTCCGCCACTACTATCTCCCCTGCTTCTCTTCCCTGCAGGGTTCCACATCGGTATAAGGGCACAACTAGGAATCAACAGTAGGTATCCAAACAGTAGCTTCCAAAGAGTTTACAGTGACACATTCTCTAGGTCAAGTGGGCTTTAACCAGCACGACTGAAGATTTGTTTCTTCATCGCAAGAGCTTGCAGTGGAACATGGTAGGAAGCAAGGATGCTCTGATCCAGCATTGGCTGTTTGTCCAAAGAACAGCACCGCGCCGCCAGTATTGGCTGGCGGATGATTAGCATGCTAATTTGTATGAAAGCAGGCAGAAAATGTTGCTAGGTGGCACTCAGAATTTGTGTTCTGCATGTTGCATAGTCTATAAAGATGATAGGCAAGTTGCTGACAGAATAATATTATAAGGTGATGTACTACATGCAGGTCATAAAGGATTTAGTTTTAGGGCTTAAGGCTAAAATCCCACTCCTGAAGTTTATTACCCAACATTATTCCAGTAATGAGCTTTTTGATTTTTTTTCTCCCTACCACCATTAAGATTTACTGAGGAACTGCCTAAATTCTCAGAACATATTTCCAAGGACTGACTATATAAAGCAAGGAAAGGGGACAGTTGGGAGCGGGGAGGGGAAGCAGTTTCTTGAGCCCTTCCAATACTAAATGTTGCGTGAAGCACCTTGCATGCTTTTGGGCACTGTAGAAATAAACAACAGCAACACTAATAATAATAAATACTAGGGTTCTACAGCATGGCCCATAATTCTCCATTTTCCAACAGTGTTTTGGACTATTCATTGTGTTTGTATTGGTTGTACTAAGCTGGGCACAATGGGGCCCTGGTCCATGACAGAGGGGTCGCAGGTGCTACGGTAATACAAATATATAATAACGATTATTATTCTATACACAAGGATCTCCCGAACTCTTCTTTTCACAGCCCCCAACTCAGGAAATCACTGAAGCATGTGTTTAAGCACTATCCTCCTTAAAGGGATGCTTTTCTGAATTGGGGTGACCCCGATCATGCCTTTGTGATACTTCTTCCTTCTAGCATCATCCAAAATATGAGGTGCAGCAGTTCTGAGACAATTAGAAGCACATTTAAACAAGAGAAACCTAAACCTAAAGACGCCTCTCTAGGTTGTATAAAACACTAAAAAAGGAAAAAAAAAAAGAACAAAATCGTAAAACCATAAAAAAGCTGCCAATTGGACAACATGGGGAAAGCAGTTCAATCCCATGTTGGTTTGTTTTACTTTTTTCTTTTTCTTTAAGCTATTTCTTAAATAATAAATGCACATGAAATGTTAAATATGTATATACTGTATTTCAAAAAATTAAAAAAAAAATTCAAACGAATGGGGCACAAGATTGTTCTATAAGTCGTGCTGGCTAATTTTTAGTTTGTATTCATAAGTGGTTTTTAAAAGCCTTTTTTAAAGTGTAATTTGCATGTTCTACTTTGATTGTATGTAAACATATTTTAGAGCAAAAAAATGTATTTGTATTTTATTGAATATAGAGGCAAGAGAAAAAAACCTTGTACATTGTTTGAAATGTTCTTTTTGTAACAGTTTTTATTCATGAAGCATTTTTGTACATTTAAAAATGGATATGGACTTGGTGTTATTTGAGGCTTAGATACATCTGGCATGCTTTAATGTCATGCTCCTTCATGATCTTAGATGTTGGTTTTTAAACATTTTTTTCTAAAACAAAGCTCAGTCTTTTGGCTACCAAGTCTGGTTAGCACAGTGTAGAGCACTTAACTAAAAAAAAAAAGAAAAAAAAAGAAAAAAAGAAAAGAAAAGAAAAGAAAAAAAAAGTTAATCCTATTCATATGTTATTCATTGTGTGAAATTAAAGGAATTCAATTCAGTCTAACATGAGTTGTGAATTCTTTTGTCTTATTTTCCATCTGTTTCACATCACTGAGGAGTTTAATAGCTTTTGGATACCAATACCATGCACTCACAAGCCCTCTTTATGGTAATGGAGAAAAACATGCTTCAGTTCTCTTTTTTTTCCAGAACGTCCTTAAAAGTGTAAAAAAAAAAAAGAGAGAGAGAGAAAGAAAGAAAAATGTCACATGTTATGGGCCTCATTTTCCAAAGTGCCTTCAGAATTTGTGTCTGGAAACCTAGGCCTGTGACTACTGGGGCCCAACACCCAGTGACCCAGATTGTGCCCCCTAGAAAAATGCATGGGCAGGAATCTCTGCAAACCTACCGCATGGAAACATGGATCAGCTACCTTCACATCATGGTATCCCTTGCTCTAGAAATCATGGAGTCCTCTCCTGGTGGCCCATGACCTTTGCTGAAGGAAGAGCGGGACTCACATCGGGGGGAGAAGTGGGTAGGATAGCGGTGGTGACAGGAGGATGCATCTCTTCCCATTCCTGCCCCATGGAGCTCTGGAGATAAAAATAATATGGTCTTCGAGCCTCACTTTCTGTCCTCGGGGCTCCCAATGACCAAGTTGAACTCCTAGCAGCATGTATCCCATTAAGATGCACTGCCAGTGAGGTGTGGAAAGTCACCTGTTGACCAGTATGAATGTCCCGGGCCTCCCACGGTTTCCACATCATATCTGCTGATCATCAGGGCTCCACCAGCTTTGTGGGTGGCTGCACAGCCTTTTGCATGGAGAGCAAATCCAATCCCCCGATAGGCTAATGTGTTGAGAGTTTCACTTGGGTTCCCCACAGAGATTCCTTCTCCCAAAGCAACTGCCTGTGGAAGTACGTCTATACTTACCTCCATGTCCGGCAGTAAGCAATCGATCTTCTGGGATCGATTTATCACGTCTTGTCTAGATGCGATAAATCGATCCCGGATCGATCCCGGAAGTGCTCGCCGTCGACGCCGGTACTCCTGCTCTGCGAGAGGAGTACGCGGAGTCGACGGGGGAGCCTGCCTGCCACGTCTGGACCCGCAGTAAGTTCGAACTAAGGTACTTCGACTTCAGCTACTTTATTCACGTAGCTGAAGTTGCGTATCTTAGTTCGAAGTGGGGGGTTAGTGTGGACCAGCCCTGGGTTTTCCAAGGGGAGAGAGTGACGCTGGACTCATCTGCACAAATGAGGTTCCAATTCCTCCACCACCCCACAAGTTGCACTCAAGAGTCAATGGAAGTTCTATAAGCAGCGTGACTAGAGGCTCATGACCCTATCTTTTTTTGATGCGTGCAAGCAAACATGCACACAATGTAGGGCCAATCCCACTGTCATTGAATCAATGGCAAGACGCCTATTGACCTAAGTGGAAACAAGGACAAGACCCTTCAGAGTTCCAAGATATCGCAGTAATTATCATTTTTAGAGAACAGCTACATGTTAAAAACATATATGTTTGGCCCTATATGTACAATTTGAGGACTACATCAACACGGAGCTAAAATTTAAGCCAGGAACTACTATTTACAAGGAAGTACACCTCTACCCCGATATAACGCTGTCCTCGGGAGCCAAAAAAATCTTACCATGTTATAGGTGAAACTATGTTATATCGAACTTGCTTTGATCCGCCGGAGTGTGCAGCCCCGCCCCCCCGGAGCGCTGCTTTACCGCGTTCTATCCGAATTCGTGTTATATCGGGTCGCATTATATAGGGGTAGCGGTGTATAGAAACCATGGCGTGAAAATAAAACCCATTACACAACGCCTTTGGGGAGAACTGAGAATCCGCATGACTGTAAGATTTGGTAGTGATGTACTAAATGACCTCTAGGTCTTTTTTTTACGTGACCTGTGAGAATAACTGGTATGACAAAACAACACGAGATGTTAGAGGTTGATTTTTTAGGCTTGTAATAGAAAGTGTTAATATATTAGTGATGCTTAGAAACACTAAGGTTGGATGGGAATTTTTTGATTAAGCATTTTTTCTTGAAAAATGCCAGTTCAAAACTGAAACCATTTCCAAAACAGGGAACAAGGTCGGTTTTGACAAATCTCCCAATTTGAAAGTGTCTAAAACATTTAAACATTTTCAATCTGAAAAATTCCAATTTTCCAGTTCAAAATGACTTTTTTTTAAATTTAAGCTAATTGTACTGAATGAAAGAAAACGTTGAAATCTAAATGAAACATTTTGCTTGACCTGACCTGATTTTTCCCCCCAGTTTTTTAATTCACAATTTTTTTTTGAGATTAATGATTTTGTCCCCATTTGGGATGGTCAATATTTTTTAATTCTCTAAAATATTTGACAGAGAGGGGAACCATTTCCCACCCATCTTTAGC